TGAGTGGAATCAGAATTGTTTGTTCTACAAAAAGTAAGCTGGTCTAAGTACATACTAATATTTCTCAACCAATCATAAATCTAACCTTAACCAGTTATTTCTCATATAATTCTACTTCTAATGCTTTTCTGTGATTATCACACCATTTTAATTCATCTTTCAGAATATAGAAAACCAACATTAGTTTCCCATTCTCTTTGACTTATTCAAGATAGCATTTATTGAATCCTCGTCCATATCAAGGAGAGTAAATTAAGGACTGGGACCTTAATCCTAGAGAATTAGGATTCTCTAGGATTCCAGCACCTTAATCCTAGAAGAATCCTAGACCTCCTCCTAGAGAAGCATACACTCAAGAACAAGACAAATAAATGTTAAGTATAACCAAAAAAAAAAAACCTCATGCAATTAAACCCATGACATGAATAGTGCTGTGATCCAATCCTATGGGAGCAAAAAAGAAAGGGATAATTAATTTTAACTCAGTGTTGGCAGGAAGGTGTGAATTCAGGAGAGCTTATCAGGTCTTAAGAGTAAATTTTCAAAATGGAAAAAGACAGGATTTCAAGTTTTCTTTTGTTTTAGGAATCAAGTCTGATGCTCCTCGGAGTAAACTAGCTCTTTGCTTTAAAACAGCTTACTGTCTCAACAGAATGCAGAATAACCAAAGGCTCTACCTGAAAACAATTTTACATACAAGATTTTCTTACTCTGGCTTCAGATATTTCTAAAATGTGCCTCTCTAACAACATCTATGCAGGTTACCTATCCAGGGAACTATTTTCAGTCGTAAATACCCAAATGAAAAGTGAGATGCATTCTTTGCCTTTAGTGAGTATTTCATTTGTCAAAATTCAATATTTTAACAAAGCCCTTACTGTGTAATTGGTAAATTCGTGGAAACCAGACTGCCTGGGATGCAACCTCAGCGTCACTCCTTACTTACAAACTCCATGGTCAGGCTACTTACCCTGTCTACACCTCAGTTTCCCTGTCCATAAAATGAAAATGATAACAGAACCCATTTCATGTCATTCTCGACAGAGTGAACTACGTTATTACATGTAAAATGCTTGAAACACCCAGCATAAGGTAAATCAATAATAAGCATAACTTTTTACCAAGAAAAATCTTTTCTAAGAGTTTACGTCTAAGGTGCTACACCAATCTAATAAGAAAAAATTTCCCATCCTGTCTCACCTTTATTTAAGCTGACTTTGAAAATGGATTTGCTCAGAGAAAGATGCCATAAGAAAAAAGCTAAAGTTGATTCCTAGACAGTAACGTCAGTAACAGAAAAACAGGTTATTTCAGAAGGTCTCTGACATATTGAGGGATAAAACAAAGAGAAATCATATTGTACAATAAGCAATTTTAAAAATTCACCAAAGATTTGACAGCTAAGCTAATAATTCCCTTCCCTTTTTCTTTTGTTCCTTATCCTTTTACAACCAAACCCTCTATCCATTTTTTATGTATTACACAGGGAAAGATTTGGAGATCATTACAGACTTAGAAATATTTGACTGAAACAACAGCAAATTTTTTATGTTAAACCAAGAGCTAGAGTTGAGCAAATTTTACTGTCTGTCCTTCCCATGATGTTGCAATCCCTACGCAATCAATGTCCCAACACGCTGAAGAGAATTTGGCTGGCCCACTCACAGCAACAAGGGAAATAAGACACAGGCTGTAGATTCCGTTAAGGACTAGAGCAGATATATGTACCAGAACTCAGCAAGCATCCTTGCAAAGTCGTCTGCCACAGCAACTGAAACTGCACCACCTCACTGCTTAGAGTGGAGTCAAAGAAATCTGGGGCTCGCTGGATAGGTTCAAAACTTAGCTCTGCCAGTTGCAAGGTGTGTGGCCAGAAACTCTGTTTCTTAGTCTGCAAAATAGGGATAACAGGTGGATTTGTGTTTAAAATTAAAATAGTATTTGAAAAGCATTTGTAATAGTATTTGGCACCTGGTGTTATTTAACAGTGTCTATTAAATAAACATTGCAGTAACTTCCACACTTATGATTATTTCCACATGCAGATATGAAGAAGGTTTCAGTTTTAGTGTAAGCCCTCCCCCAGAACAGTTAAATTAAAGCAAATTTTCAGCAAGATCTTTAAAATTTGATATGGAGGCAATTGACCATAAAGAGTATTAAATTTCCATTATTTCTTTACCATCTAGATAGCAAATAAAAATGTATTTGGAATTTAGAGTATCTTAGAAATGCAAAAACGATATATCTATTGGAATTTTCTAGACTGTCAGAGGTTCAGGAATTAAGGAAGAAGTTATTAAGGAATCTAAGGCAATGTCCATTTAATGTTTTAGGAGCTGAAAATAAAAACAGCAAAGATATTGACAATTTACAATCATGCTGAGTATAGCATAAGCAACTTAGCTTATGGGAAGGAAGAGCCCTTAAAAAAAATTTAACAAAAAATATTACAACTTCTCTCCATATAAGATAAATACTACAGAAGATAAAAAACTGTGTCACTGAGTTTCATTTGGTTTCATTCATTTTTAATAATGTAAGCATTAAGATTTTTTAATGTAAGCATTAATAGCAAAGGTTGGAAACAATCAAACCCTAATCACCCTTTTCCAATCTAAGCTAGTCTCACATGAACTGTAAATATGCCCTAAGTCAAAAGGTGTCCAGGGTTCATTATAGGCTTCTATTTAGATGTAAATTGAGAGCTGAGATTTTAAATGCTCATCTGAAGGGGAGACACATATCACAAGTGTCCATTTCACAATCAGATACATCATTCTGGAACACCAAGCTGGTCCCTGCAAGGGGGCTCAGGAAGTACTCCGACAGCAGTAGCAATTCTTACCCCTTGAACTGTGGTCATCAAAGGCTGGTCACTCTGACTCTACTGCTTTTTCTCAAGTAAATACCAGTGTGCTCTGTGTACCTAATGTTCTCCCAAAACTCTATCATGAATTAAGTTAATGCATAAAGGGTTAAAGCTTCTGTAAAAGGAGCATTTGGGAATGGACACATGTATGTGTGACTAAGTTCCTTTGTTGTCACCTGAAACTATCAAATATTGTTAATCAGTTACACTTTAATATAAAATTAAAAGTTTTTTTTTTTAAAAAAGGAGTACTTGGGGAACAGGCTGACAAAGAAAACTTTGTACTTGAAAATTATTTACCATCAGAAGAGATTCTACTACAGAACCTTCTCCCTTTGCTCTCACACTCCCTTTGATTTAGGATAAGTGTCTCAAGAGAATGACATGAACAACAGAAAGCCTCCATTAATTTCCTAGTAAGTATGAGGAAAATGGGCTGAAATAAAAGGGGAGATAAGAAACTAAGTACTTCTTTAGCTGAGTTTTAAATTTTGTCTGAAAAGATCGAAACTTAGGTTTGGGTCCCAAACTATTGTTTAAAGAACCATTAGAACTCTGCTTTTGAACTTGCAAAATTTTGTGAGGTGTTCTTTGATGGGAGGTGGGAATCGGTCCTTAGAAAGTGACTAGCTGATTTTTATCACCAAGGAATTTTTTTAAATATCAAACTTATCATCTGTTATATGAATGCATATACCACGCACTCACTTCCTTGTTTCACTGAAAAGTCCTGGTTTTAAAAGCTGATGGTATCGCTTTTGCAAAAGACAAAGGCCAATTATTTCCAATGTCACATTTCTTTTTCTCCCTTTTTCCTTCTCTCTCTCTGTTTTCTTTTATCTTGTTTATTCCCTTCTTTTTGATGAGTGCTGAAAAACAAGCACCTACACACAACCCTAGCACTGGCCCACGCCCTAAGAACCTTCCATTTAGCAACTCTCTGGGAGTTGAGAACCATTCTAAAACACAAGCAGAAGCACTTTCGCCTGATCCCCCAGGTTTCCTCCCAGTCTACAACCACCCGTCTTCACCGGATCTCGGTCGGAACCGCAGCGGGCGACAAAGCCTCTTAGCCTGGCCTCACTCCGGCCAAGGAGCCGATTCCCAGGCCACCCGGCCAGGAGGCGCTGTGGATCAATGCCCCCCGTGGCCACCGGCAGCCGGCGCCCAACCCTCCCTCCCCCCAACCGCGAAGCGCAGCCCGCCCGCGGAGCCGCGAGCTCTGCACCGCCCGCCGGGGTTACTCTCGGTCATTCTGCTGCACCGTCTCACCCCAGCTTCCCCATCCGTGCCCTGCCTAAAGCTGCTCCAAGAGACACGCAGCAAAGGGCAGGAAGATGGGGGGAGCGGGCGGAATGGTCACCTCAGCTCCAGGTTTCCGCAGCACCCCCGCCCCCAACGTTTGTTAAAGAAACAAAACTCTCGTCCCTCAGTCCCGCCCGTCTCCCCCACCCCCATCCCCAGCCTCCCACAGCGTCAGAGACGGCAGCTCCTGGAAGCGTATGGAGACTATGGAACAGGAACCCCCTGATCAAACAAAACCCCCGAGGCCTCAAAAGAGCACTAGCGCTAAGGGCTCCCACTCGCATTCTTGGTGAGCCATAAAGCGCTGCTCCAGTCCGGGGGCGTAGGGGACTTATCCCCAGATCAGAGCCCAACCCGGACTAACTCCTTAGGAACAGAGGGGATTCTGACGGCTGGCATTTTTCCCGGTGGGCGCCGGCCGACCCGCAGCCAGAGAGGGTTCCAACCGGCTCAGGCGCTTCCAAACAAAGGGAATAATAGCTCAGTGCCAGACCTGCCACTCTCCTTACTCCAGCGGCAGCGCCTCCAGCACCACCAGGAGCCCCCGATTCCCCTGCGCCCCAGCTACTGCGCTCGGGTCTCCGCGCGCCCAGAGATGCTCCCCGAGCTCCACCGCGGGCGAACCCTGAGCGCAGCTATGTCGCGTCTTTGGGTCGCCAGAGCTCCTCCTAGGACATCCTCTCCACATTTACGAGCCCCTGTTTGCGCTGCAGTAGGTGAGGATGTGGGGGTTCGGACTAAAGTCCCCCAAACCTAGAGCTTCCCAAAGTCCCCTCGGCCAGAAACGAAACAATAACGTCCAAGTCGCTGGAGAGACTCTTACCTGTTTTCCACTTTTGTGTTTGTGGCTTTCCCCAACCCCTTGAAAAACCCTTCGGCAAAGAAGGGGGGTAAAGGGAGCAAAGCGCCCCGAGAAATTGGCTGTGGCGGCGCTGGTTGCACGGCGCCCCCTCTTCTGCCCACCTGCGCCGGGGGGAGAGAGAGGTGTCGGCGCGTCTCTGCCGGCCCCGGCAGCACTCACTCTGCCTCGGAATTACCGGGGTTTTGCCGCGACTAGTTCCTTTTATAGATTCGGCGGCGCTGAGCGCTGGGGTTACTATCGGTCAAAGCCTGTTCTCTCCCTCCTTCCCCGCCCCCTTCCCGGCCTCTGTTTATGTAGTTCAGTCACTCAGCAGAAAGCACGTGGAGCCGCGCCCCGCCCCTTAAACGGGCGACGTCCAGCAGCGCGCGGGGCTGGGGGCGGAGGGCGCCAGTGGGGTGCAGCCGGCCTCCCCTCGGCGTAGGTGCGCGCCCCGCGCCCCAGCCCGGCCCGCCAGCGCAGGAATAGGGGCAAACGCCGGTCTTGGGACTGAGCCCGCCAGACTCTTATCCAGGTTCAGGGCAACCAACAGCACGAGTGAAAATCGCTTTTGCTAAACTAGTTCTTTCAGCAACTTTTGTTTCCTTTGTTAATTTACTCAGCTGGAGGGACTTGGGGGGCGGAGAGGAGAGGGAAGGGGAAGAGAAAGCAAGGCCAAAACCCCTAGGGATGCCAACCCTTTAGTGTTTTTTTCTTTTTCTTTAAATGCCCGGAGTGGGGAGAAGGTGGACAGTCCTCTGGACAATTGGCTGGTTTTGTTGTCCAGCACAAACCCTGGCTTTGGAATTCAAGGGCCTTTGGGGTTCCCAATTTGGGGCCTCCCAAGTCCCAGGAGGACCCCTGAAAACTGTCTTGCTCCCTCCCTTGGCAAACTGGGAGGAGGGGGGAGGCCACAGAAAACCGGAGCAATGTGGACCAATCTCCTTCTTATTTTCACCATGTTAGTCAGCAGTGATAGATAAATACACGTGGGCTTGTATTTAGGTTTCTACAGGTTGGCAAGGTACCGCTAGAGCATCGCAGTCTTGTAAAATTACATAACCATTCCAATTCTTCAGCTTCGTCCTCTGGCTTTGGCTTTGACAGTCAAGAGCAAGAGGGCCCATAACATTTGAGGAACAGAAGCAAGTGTACAAATGGAGGCCCACATACTTTTAAGTCTCCATATTTAACTCAAAAATAAAGCTAACAAACTGTAAAATAAGTTCCTCCTACTTGACAGAGATACCTTTGGAGCAACTGGGAAGGGTAGATTCACAACCAGACTCCTTAGGCTTTGACTTGAGGTTTGACAAGAAAGTGGTAGAGCAGGAGAGCAGGCTCCCAGACAACTTTGCTTCCCATCCCCAGCTCCATCATATTCCAGAAGAATCTGCAGGTGTGCATCTGGGCCCCCAGCTGCACAAGCCCCTCCAGACCATGATTTGAACCCAGGTCCACATGTCAGTGGTTCTGTCAACACTAAGGATGGATCCAGTGAGGAGGCCCATGCAGGCCCTGGAAGAGCACTTAAGGGCCTTAGGACAATTCTGGGGTCTCAGCTACTCATAACTTGGTGACCTGGCCCCTGGGTCCTGTGGACCATTCATCCTTAGGAAGGGATGAGGTTGGAGGTGGGCCAGAGTCAAACCTTCTGAAGTCCAGGGCCCACAAGAGGAGACTCTGGTCCCTAGGTTCCAGGGTCAAATCTGACAACCACATGATCCACTAACTTTCTGCCTCCATTTATTTACCCATAAAAGAGACTATATATATGCTCTCCCTGCCTCACTGGGGTTTTCTGAAAGTAAATTTTGTTCATTTGAGCTCCTGGGAAGAATGGCTCTGTAAAACTAAGAGCCTGTTGATAGCTGCCTATTAATGTCATTTTCTGGTACCAACCATGGCCTATAAAGAATTTCCCATGCCAAAATTTTAAGATTCCAAGCGTAGGGAAGAAGAGTTCAAAGTAATCTCTCTGACCTCTAGATATAAAGAAAAGCTCTTGGAGGAGGTGTTACCACTCCAAGTGTGATTTGTGGAAGTGATTATGTCTCCCTGACTCTCCATCCCCTGCCCCACCCACCTATCACGGTGCTTAAAACCCCACCACAGAATTATTCTTTCTGAAACTGAAGGCTCTAGTTTCCAAGAGCACCCTACTAAAGTAACCCCTCAGATTGTTCTCCTAGGGAATGAGTGACAGTAAGTCCTGTGCAAATGAGACAAGGATAGGCTGTTGGAGAAAGGAGATGAGGCCAAGAAGGAGATGAAAGCACCAGAGAAGACAACCATTGATTCTAAATACACAGGTCTATGGCCCCAAAGTCAAATGTAATCATTTCTAACTGAGAACAACCTATGGTATCAAGAATCTGCTCATCTCTGCACACACTGTAATGTCTGAAATAAGCTTATCAGTTGTGTTCCTTTCTACCAATAAAAGAGCGTATATCCCCAAAGAGACTAAGTGATTTGCCAAGGGCCACAAACATCTAATTCTGCCTTCATCAAGCCCACACTTTGAGAGTATGACAGGTTCATATGAAAAAAATACTTAATTCCAAAAGTTAGAGGTTAAAAGAATGTGTCCCTTGGGAGAGTATAAAAGTGTGCATTTCTCTCCCTCGAACGTCACAGGTTGATTTGTTCCTGAGTATGCTTCAGTGAACTTACCCCCAAGTCCATCAGTTCCTGCTAACACCGACACCAACACTCCAGGTCTCCACCCTAGGTGACTCTTTCCAAACAAGCAGAATGGCCCTTCTTTGTTACCGTCTCCGGAGAAGCTGGTTCTGTCGGTGCAGCCTGAGTGCCTTGAAGTTCTACTCTGAGATGACCCTGGCATCTTCTAATTACAGAATTCAGGTACCTGTGGCCTTAGAGATCCTGGTAGAGGTCATGGCGCTACAGATTATCATTGTATTGAGACCTTTTAAATTAGGAATTACCCAAAAGGCTTTGCTTGGAAATTGCTTTGATATATAACACTCATATAACATAAATGTGCTTAGTCACTCAGTTGTGTCCAACTCTTTGCAAACCCCATGGCCTGTAACCTGCCAGGCTCCTCTGTCCATGGGGATTCTCCAAGCAAGAATACTGGAGTGGGTTGCCCTGCCCTTCTCCAGAGGATCTTCCCAACCCAGGGATAGAACCCAGGTCTCCCACATTGCAGGAGGATTCTTTACCAGCTGAGCTACTAGGGAAGCCCCCACATAAATGTACATGTACAAATTATTTAAAATATAAATTATTTTCACCACACATGTATTTTTGGTATGCATACCATGCTGTTTTGATTCCTGGAAACTCTGGGCGGGGCGGGAAGAGTATTATAGGAAGTCAATGAAGAATAAAACAGAAAATATTCTAAAAATAATTTCCTTAGCAGAACTTGTTACAATTAATAAGACCTGATAGCTGGGCTTTTTGAGAATTCCTGAAGAATGACAGGTGCCTCAAAATTAACGAAGAAAAAAAGACAATTCTTCTTTTATGTAAAGTGGAATTAAAGGACCTGCAGTTCATATTTGAGTCAGTTTAATTCCAATACATGGTTAGAAACAAACTTTCAAGCTAAAGATAGTAAGAAAAAAAAGGGGGGGAATCATCATTATTTGTGGAGTAAATCAGGTATTGCATAAGCTTTCAATATTACAAGCTCAACATAATCAGACCAGTGCAATCCCCTTCTTTATTAATGTGACTCTTATTGACACATGCAAGATTCAAAACCATTACTGCTTCTGTTCCTGAGTTTGTTCTGCTTGTCACTGGGATGAACCAGTTAGTCTGGATTATAGAGAAATATATTCCCTGATTTACCAGTTGATCAATAAGCTATAATTCTTTTTAAAAGCCATCCTTTTAACCTTTTTCCCTTCAAGCTCTCCTGCTTTTAAGAGCCAAACTGCTGAAAAAATTTCTTCTGTGATCCTTCTCTTTTATTCAGTCTCCAACCCATTTCAGGCAAACTCTGGCCCCCATCACTCTCCAGATCCATTAATGACCTCCTTAAAAAGAGAGAGAGGGGTATATGTGCTTTCATTCTCATAATTATAAAATATTTTCATGTAGAAAAATAGAAAATACCTCAAGCACAGAAAGACCACTGAATGGGTAACGCTGATGACCTCCTTTAAGTCCCTGGGCTACCTGATCTCTGGTATTCAACACTACTGACCACATCTTCCTTCCTGAATCTAGTTCTCTTGAATTTCCTGCATCTGGTTCTCTTCTAACTCTCCTGCCTCTTTAATAACTCTTTCCCTGACTTTCTCTGTCCTTATATAATGTCTCCTGATACTGGTTTCTCTTTCTCTCTCTCTTTTTTTAAACACAATCCACTCCCTTGGCTTCAGGTAAACTGGGTATCCCCAGCTCTCACCTCCTTGCTGTGCTCTGGAACGGTGCCCCCCAATAGAGCGTGGAGCATCCAGCAAGACCAGTGGTGTGCTCATTCCAGCTCATAATTGCTGACTGTGTATGTATATCTTTTCCCGACTCTGCAATAAGTAACTTTCACATCTGATACAATCAGGGCATTCTTTTCTTCCTGTCTTTCTGTCTGTCTTTTTTTTTTTGGAAAGCCAGTTTTAACATTTACCAGCACAACACTGAACAAGACATTCTTCAAGTAAATCTCAAACCAATTTTTTAATCTTTCATTTAAATCTCCCTCCTCTATATGTGTCTTGTGTTTTAATTTCATTTAGTGATCAATCCACATATTGACTGTGGGAAATTATAGTCATACTTGTTTGACTTTTCCTCTCTCTGTCCCCATCTTTTTCTTCTCATTCTAAAAAGCACCCAAGCCAATTGAATCTCCTAAATATCTCTTTAATCTGCCCTGTCCTCTTCATTCTCACTTGTCTAAAACCAAGTCAGAGTTCTGGGTAACCTCCAAATTGATATCCCTGCCTTTAGTTTCTTCTTCTTCCTATTTATCTTTCCTACCATGATGGAGTGATTTTTGCTTGAAGGGAAACATCTAATCAAATCAACACAAAGCCAAAAAGTATCTAATCAAACTCCCCTCCAAAAAACTTCCTATGATTCTCCATTGCTTACAAAGAAGTAACCCCTCAAAGTTCCTTTAGAAAACCTACAAAGACTTTTACAAACATTGCATAGAAGGCCTTTGGATCCTCTCCATCTCCC